ACAATAATACTAGTATTTTTCGTTTAAAACCAACTCAGTCAATTACTAAAGGAAATAAAGGTAAGTGCGAATATTTATTTGCATGCCTTCTAAAAAAATCACGTAATAAACAAGAATAGGAATAAATGAGGTAGGGATATTTATAATTTAATAAATAAATATAGTTCGACCCCGAGATACGATTTCGTTCTTACCATCTTTACCCTCCCTCATTTCTTTGCCACTCAACTTTTTTTTTTTAAGTTCAAGACGTCTTGCAGATAATATTTTCGCGATTGTTTCTAATACATCTCTAATTGAATTCGAACTGAATCTCAACGTAGTCAATAAAGTTTCATCTTCCTGTATTTTTGTTAGTATACCACTTAATATAAAACGGGTTCTTTTGAGGGTGTTTAAGGGTTTATTATGATATTTTTCTATTGCATATAAAGCTCCTTTCATAAATTTTGCCATTTGAACAATTTCAATCATTTTTCTTAAAAGTGTTACTGTACAATTTGGCGCACTATCATTGCCAGAATTTAATAGATGTAAACAATGTTCTTGTAATTTAATTAATGATAAAAGTATTAAATTTAAATCATAATAGTAAGAACATCCAAGGAATATCGTTGCTTGCCGTATGAAATTATCACAATTATGTATTGTTACAGGTTCAATAAATAAATTTTTTAGTTCATAGTTTTTGCTTCTATATTTAATAAAGCTGACATCGTTTATATTTTTCCATCCTGGTTGACGTAAAAAATCATTTATGATAGCCGCGATTTCTTTTTTATTGTGTAATCCTTCAATATATAAAACAGCGAAAAACATACATAAGTACCCTTGAATATTTAGTATTATTGCCATTTTAATTTTCGAAAATTCTCTATCTATTTTTTAATATCTAACTCCTTATTAAAAAAACCAATAGTTGTACAAAATTTGTTTCAAACTAATCATGATTTTAATAAAGTTTTTTATTTACATACTAACATTAAAAATTAGCAAAAAATGTTGTTTGAGTACACAGGTGAAAATAGTTAAACGATATATATTAGCAATTAAGTCGAGTATACAGGTGCAAATTATATTTGTATGTGACATCGGGAGGAGGAGCAGGATTGTTACTTTTGAAACAATGCGTGATTAAAACACCAACAATTTGAAAATTTACATTGTTTCTTCTGAAATTTATAAATGGTTTAATTAGTTTTTTTTAAACATGTTTTTTTTACAACACTTTAAAGGGACATTTTTTGTTAAAGAAATTTTATCGCTACGCTCGAAATAATATAATATTTATTATAAATAATAAACCTTATTTTTATCATATAAATCACTATGATACAAATATTATCATTATAATACAAAACGTACAGTTAAAACAATAAATATAGTTAAAAAAAACTAAAAAAACACGCTTTTAAAGCACATCAAACAAAAAGTTATAAATAATTTTTAAAATAATTATGAACAAAAAATACTAGTATTATTGTGATATAAAAGCATCGGGCGCTCAATATACGAAAAATATGGCACAAAGCACCCACGCTGTTATCACAATACTACTAGTATTTTTTGTTCATAATTATTTTAAACTTATTTTAAAAATTATTTTTAACTTTTTATTCGATGTGCTTTAAAAGCGTGTTTTTTAGTTTTTTTAAACTATATTTATTTTTTACTTTCTAGTTTCATGTTATGATAGTAGTTACTATCAATATCATTGTTGTAACGGGTAACAGGAAATCAGGGTTCGATCCGGGGAGGGTGTCTGAGAAACGACTGTGGTAGCCGTTTCTCAGACGCCTGCTGCTTTCCTTGGATGTGGTATCCAAGGAAAGCAGCAGGCGCGTAAATTACCCACTCCTGGAACATGGAGGTAGTGACGAAAAATGACGATACTGGATTCATCCTTTGTAATCGGAATGAATGAGTTCTATATCTCTAAATAAGAATAAAGTGTGTTAATATATATTTTTAATAGTAATTAGAATATATATATACATATA